AGAAGAAGAAGAAGAAGAAGAAGAAGAAGAAGAAGAAGAAGAAGAAGAAGAAGAAGAAGAAGAAGAAGAAGAAGAAGAAGAAGAAGAAGAAAAAGAAGAAATGTTTGCATAGCGCATATCTTTGTTCTGCAGGAAGCTCTTCGTGCTTTACAGTGTATATTATTAAAATTCCACCTCATCCTATAGAAAGAGCACTCAGAAACATTCTCGGCTTCCCGGGATGCATAAAGAGCAATCTTTGGATTACACGTGCTCAAACACTTACAAACTTACTAGATCTTTCGCTGTCTATACTGGTAGTTATCCTCTGACTTGCATAAAGAGGATCCAGGTTTTCTTTAACAGGTGTCTAAGGAAGTTACTGGGGATCAGATGGACAGACAGGGTCACCAACGAGGAAGTATTAAAAAGAGCGATCAGAGCCCAGTCAGAGATGAGCAGGGAAGAAGGCGTTGGCGATGTATTGGACATACTCTCAGGAAGTCAAGCCGCTGCATAACAAGGAAAACGTTAGGTTGGAACCCACAGGGTAAAAGATCAAGGGGAAGACCACGTGGAACCTGGGGGAGAGTAACGGATATGGATGTACAGAAAAGTGGGAAGACATGGAGTGACATCAACGGACTAGCCCAGGATAGGGACAAGTGGAAATTGTTTGTTCGTGGCCTATATCCTGATCCAGGGGGAGAAAGGCAATGATTATGATGAATGGTAGCGCTAGTGGTATTTAGAATTAAAAGACACATTACGTAATCTGTGCGCTCTGTGTAAGCCTGCCTATATGCGCATTTCACCCATTATTTTTACTCCCTCCTTCTTTTCTCCGCTTTCTGTGTATTTTTATGCTGTGTGTATGTATATCTGGTGGGACATTTGTCTGTCTGTTATTGTGTAATTTTTTATGTTTGTTTCTGATCACGCACGAAAATTGACTCTGAAGCGGTTCGATTTCTGTCTAATGTAACTGTACTTATCTCAGTCAGGACTTTACACTGAGGCATTACTCTTGCCCTGTAGATCGCTAAACGCTTGAATTTAAACTGTCCAATTACTCTCTGCCAACAGCTTGGTGTTGTTCCGAAATGTAACTCTTTTCATTTTACTTGCCATCTGAAAGTCCTGGGAAGAGTACAAGGCAACATGTGGGTTCTGATCTAAATTGTTAGGACTTTGCAGCAGACCCGCTATATCAAAAGTATTCTCACCATCTAAAAAAGTCGTATCAAATTTCGTCTTTTTCATTTATACATATTATAGTAAGAGCAGCTATCCACAGAGTCCTGCCTGCGTTACATAGAAAGACAGAGGATAAAATGGTTTGGACACCTGTTACGCATGTCACCTGACCAGCCAGCGTCGAGAGCCTACAACACCAAGCACTAAGGCTATAAAAGAAGAGGAAGGCCACGCAAAAGGTGGATCGAGGGTGTCAAGGAAACCCTAAGAAAACATAACATCACAACTGAAAGAGTTGCAGAGCTGGCCTACCATAGAAAACTGCATCTCCCCTCTACGCTTAACAGCAACAGAGGATGAAAAAGTAAGTAAGTACATATTATATTTGTGAAAGTTCGTCACTTTGGCCGCCTAAAACTTCCCAACCACTTAACTTTCGAATTTCACAAAATTAACGGTGGTTCAGAATCCTTTAAAGGGTGCAGTTTTATTGAAGTGCCTGAAGTCACTGTTGTTTAAATTTCAGTTTTTCATTAGTTTCATTCAGATCTAATCTTGGGAAAGTCCGTCTTCTAGAACGCCATTGTTAACAAGTGAAATTTCCGGTCACTATCCGTGCGCACCAAATTCTGGAGTGTACAACCACGAAAGCGGAATAGAGAACCAATCTATACATATCTGGACCTTCTAATTTTTTGCATCTCTCAAGATTTATTGCTCCATTCAAGTAGAGTGTAAATATAGTAGGCCAATGACTTTCAGTTGATGTTATTGCAGCTATCATTCCTTTCATCGAAAGGGGGTCCAGCTAGTATAAAATAGTTCAAAAGAAACAAATAATGCACTCATCAGCACAAATAAAATTACTGCGTTTTTAAAGGAAAGTAATCACGTGCTTAATATATTGGTGTCTTTTGTCATAAGGAACAACAACAAAACAACAACAACAACAACAACGCAGACGACGAAGACAACGACAACGACAATAACAACAATAGCAACAACAACACAACAACAACAACAGCAACAACGACGACAACAGCAACAACAACAACAACAACAACAACAAAACAACAACAATAACAACAACAACAACAACAACAACAACAACAACGA